ATTAAATACTCCTTCTGACTGCCAGTTACACGAATTAAACTGTTTTATCCTCATTTACAATATCATAAGTGAAGAGCGACAGGCTGAAACCATCAAACACCCTCAGCTTTCAGCAGCCTTATTCCCGCAATGACCATATGCTTGCGCACAGTTGTCTTTCTCAGCTGATCTGATACAGAATTAATTGACACTCAGAGTTTAGCTTTAACATACCAGCTGTTAGCTTTAAAACAACAATCGGGGTTGCTCTTTAATCAGAAGATGTACTAGCTACCTTAAGGGTCTAATTTTTTTTGACAGCTATGAGTGATTTCTTATGCTTACATGATCCAGGCATAATTTCAGAAGAAATTGAAATGCTGTTAAATGTACTGCTTAAAAAAAACAAACACATCCCACTCTTTTTCTTTTTGGCTGGATGATGTTTGGCAGTTGGCAGAGAGACAGACGTGGGGCTGGGAGATAAAGGATGCATTGCTGTGACGGTGATGCAAGGCAAAGCCTGGATTTCCAGCCGAGGAAACCCTGCCGTGTCCCATGCCAGTCCTGGCTCCTGCCAACCTGCACCCTGACTCTGATGTTTCTATGAATATCTGGGAAACCTCCTTGGATAACTTCTCAGCTGGTATAAAGGATCATGAGTGATTTACCCCAGCTGGAAGAATGGTTTTGAATTTGGCAAATATATTTAACAACAAATGACTGCTCTTAAAGAGCAATTGTATCACAGGATAAGCTAAGCTGCGAGGGCATAAACTGGACAGTGAATGTGGTTCTTGAGTACTTGGACATCTCACATTGGCAGCCGGTTTCTAAATTTGGGCACCTGAGTCTGAACACATTTAAAAATATGTTATTTTTTCTGTTTTTTTTTATTTGATCTTTCATTCTACTTAGAATTATATTTTTCCTTGAGTTCTAATAAAATGAGTTAAATAATTAATGCCACAATCCAATAACTGATTATAGAATTTTTTTCAAAATTACATGTAGTACTGTTCCCATACTAAATCTTTTTGATAAATGATTTTTACAGAAGGCTTGTTACATCCATAATGTAAAAAAAGTAGAGAGATGTAAGCTACTGGCATATAATTCTAAATACCTTTTATGACCAGTAATTTATTTAATAAGCTTGATTCTTGATGTGTACATAGGAAATACTAACATGGAAGAAATATTTTAAAGAAACTGCAGATAGAAGCCTCCTCTTCCATACCCCCCTGAAATCTAGTTTATGTCCATAGGTGAATTGCTGCTGTGAAGCCACTGCAATTTGACTTTGTACAAAAAGGGTCATTGAACAGAAGGTCAGGCAGCTGGCCATTTCCATTTCAAAGATGCTATCAAAAGGGCAAGAGGCAGTTCATCCAGCAGCCCTTTAGCAAACAAGATTTTCTCCTTTCTCATTTATGATATTTTTTTATGCTAAAATAGTTTGTAGGCTACTGAGGGAAGGGCCTTGGTTCATTTTCTTCAGAAAGAAAGTGGAGTAAGCGGAGCTTGGAAAGGACTTTGGTTCAAGAAATCAGAGAAGCTTTTGAGTAATGAGGAGCCATTTGGTGTCCACTTATCAAGAGCCTGGCAGTAAGGCAATAAATCATTACGGGGGACTCTCCGCTTCAGCTGAAGACAATTGGAAAAGGTAGCTCTTTTATTACAAATTATGGCTTATCGCCTCCCTAATGGCAGGCCTCAGCTTTACGAATACTTGAGCTTATTCATCAAGATAAACCAAACAAGTTCAGAAAAGTTTGGGGACCCTGCATGCCAACGCGCCATCACGGAGCAAAGTCCACCGCGAGGTTTGTAGTGCTGCCTGACAGCCAGAGGCACAATCCATCCCCCCTGCCAGTTGCTGACAGCTCAAATGATACTGGTTCTTCTGGGATTAGAGAACTGCCTCTCGCCAATGAGCAGCTAAAATTCACCCATTACAGCAATTAAAAATAGGCTGTTCCTCCTCCAGTGTTCAGTGCACTTGCATAGCGGGACAGACAGAGCAAGAGGTTCAAGCTTGCCCAGGCTGGGGACTCTTGTGAAAGCGCCCCTGCTCAGGTCACTTAAAGAAAAGAAGTGTGTCTTGCTCTAGGGGAAAAAAATGCTTAAAACAGTTTAGGTGCCATATTTTACTCCGCACACCATTCTGCTTGTCATCTCAGAGTGCTTTTGCACTGCAGCTTCATGGATTTTGTTTCACAAATACCACGGGAAGAAGGCTGTCTCAGTAGCGTGCTTTGGAGCTGAATTACCAGACTGCTCCTAGGCAGGGGCTGTGAGTCCCCAGCTCCACCATACAGCCCTTGGGAGGAGCAAAATGCAAATATGGAAATTTCTGAAAAGCAAGTTAACCAACCTTTCTGTACAAATTAGTGTTAAAATTTTGGACTTCAGTAATTCTTTATTTATTGATGGACAAAACAAAGGATGATTTATGGGGCAAATTTTGAAAGTGGGTCCCCACTGCAAACAGACTCCTGACCTGTGCTTGGGCTTGTACGTGCAAAACAACTGATAAGAGCCCGAAACGAGTAAATCTTTGGTCATCCTCCCAGCCCTAGTGAATCTTTGGTCATCCTCCCAGCCCTCACCATGTCAGAGATAACTGAGTGAGCTCAGAGCTTCCTCACCAGCACAAATATTTTCAGAAGCATGTCAGCATAAGTTCAAAATATGTCATTGTAAAATGTTTATACAACATTGACCTGAAAATCTATCGATATATCTGTGCTATACCAATACATCCTGATAATAAGAACGCTTCATCACAGCAGGTCAATATTTATTGGAGTAAATCAACCCCTTGCCAATGTGGAAATGAAGGTGTCTGTTACCTGAAATTGGAAGAGTTGTATATTCAATTATAAAAACTAACAAATGAAGGCTTTAGCTACTATAGAACAACATCACTCCATTGAATTGATGGAACTGCATCAGTTTACATCAGATAAGTCTGGTATTAAAAGCCTTACCAGAATATCTGGAAAGGACTGGAATGGCCTTTGCACAGCATAGTTTTATGGGGCGGTGCAGTAGGACATGAAGTGGGCAGAGTGGTCCCTGGTGCAGCCAGAAATGCAGTGGGCAGGGCTGGCACCTGGGAGAGAAGGTGACACAAGCATCAGCCCAGTGAGCGGCACCTCTCCATGGGTGAGCCTCTGCTTGCCCCTTGGCCCTTGCAGCAATGTCCACTGGCATCCAGACCTGCAGGAAGACCAGTGGTCCTGTCTGGAGAGATCCCCTGTACAGTGTAAAAGAACCTGTGAGGCCCCATGGCCAGGGGCTGCATGTGTGGGGAAGATCCTGGTCCTTTGGAAACAAAACACCTCTCCCAGCTGCTTTGAAAGCACATCCCTCTGCTGCTCTGCTCATGGTGCCAGAGGCAGCACCAACACACTGCCCACAGCCAGCAACGAGATGCACCCCTTGGTGGAGGGTGAGTGAGATCAGGGATGTAGTACTGCAGGGCTGGGGAAGACTGAACAGAGACACATGAGTAAATATTTTCTATTATCCCTCCATAGCTTTATCCCTGTTAACAATATTGATTGTGGAAAGTGAAGGTGAAGTATATGATTTTAAATACAGCTGTTGCGAGTCATAATTCAAATAAGGACATTTCAAACATGTCTGAAGCATGGCAGCAGCAATCAGCAGCACAGGGCCACTTGGAAATATGGCCACTAACAGTCTTTTGAAAAGCATAAGGCAAATTGCCAGCTAAATAAGAACTAGAGGAGCACCACAGCTCTCCGTGTTTTCCAGAGTGGCCAGTTACAAGTTAGGTTATAATGTCCTTTGGAGAAGAAAAGCATTCCCCACTAGCAAATTTCTCCCATGCCTCTGCTCTCAAGCTCAGCTGCTGCTGCCACTGCCCCCCCAGCTGTGGAGGAGGAGGGATGTGGTGCCTGCAGGGGCACTGCCTGCCCCGGAGGTGCCCTGCCCTGCACCACTAATGACACTCTGCTCCTGGGCAGCAGCAGCAGCAGCTGATGCTGCTATTGTTTCTTTGACAATAATACAGATTTTAGACTTACTAGTCACGGAGACATTTTTCTTCCTCTCTTCCTAGTGCAGCATAAGCTACTTTGACACCCCAGGGACAGGCTTAGGCACAGCTCTGCAGTGGGTTTGGTGAACCTGTGACCCCCAGCACTGCTGTGGGCATGCAAGTGAATTCAGAGGGACCAAAGGTAACTCTGGGGCTCTGCATCTTCTGCTCATCACCTCTGCTTCAGCATCACAGCTACACCCTCTGCCTTTAGGCTTATCCCAATTTCCACTTGCTAGGAGAGCAGTGAATTAAAATGTTAAGATCTGCAAATGTAGCCAGACCTTAGGGTGCATCTTCCCCCACCGGAGTGAAGAGTAGGCTCCACTGGGACTGCTCACAGCAATTATAAAATGAACTATGCATAAAAACAGTGAAGCAACCCGTCAGCTCTAAGTTTGCTTTGTAAATGCTGGAAATTGTCCTCGGGTGTTTCAGAGGGGCCTCCAGGCAGCCCCAAGTTATGACTCATTTACTGTAAGAGACATATGTTTGGCATTTAGGTAAACCACTGCCTCTGCCAGATTTGAAGGTGCTGGGAACATCAGACTGTCACCTTTAAGCATAATAATGTTTTCTACTCAAAGTTCAAACATGGTTTTTGTAACCATCAAAGTCAGTGGGAGTTTTGTCAATGAGACCATGCTTATGTAAAAATACTACTGAAGAGGCAATCATTTTGAGGTTTTGTATTTTAAAAGTGTAAAACAGAGAGACCTTCTTTTCTACAAAGCAGTAACGTGTCAGAGAACCGCAGACTTATAACCCAAGGATCTATACCAAAAACCTGTAAAGGGAAAAGCTAACAAGAGGTTGTGAGAAAAGGTCGATGAAGCTGTACAAAAGGGTAAATATTCTGATGGTTTCCTCTCAAATACATTGATATGAGGTTCAGAAAGAATTCTCCAGGTAGGCCTGGTGCTCCGTTTCCCAAGTAAATACTGCTTACCTCTGCTTTTAATCCAATGTAAGACCACTGGCTGAAGGTCTGAGAAGTTTGTGAAAATTCACCTGAAATTTTCGATCTTTTCAGTGTGAATTCATGCAGGTTGCAGAGCTGGAACAATTGCTATTTCATTATATAAAATGCGAACATTAAACTTGACAGCAATTCCAGGGCATAAAATTTCAGCAGAGCCCTGGAAGTGGCAGAGCTGCTATCTTTGACCTTTGGTCCACCATAAATGGGGAAAGAGATGTTTGTCTGAAAGGGAGAAAGTGTCGTGCTTCTGGAGGCTGTTGCTGCTTTTATTAAGGCAGCAGCCTCCTGTCAGCTGTGCTCCCCCATCACTGGCTTCTGGGGCTCACACACTCAGCAGGGAGGTTAGCTGAGTGGTATAAAGGTGGAGGGGAAAATTTGAGGCAGAAATATCAAAAAATGTCTGCACTAAACCATTTTAAAGGGAGACAGTTGAGAAAAGCACCCTGATTAGACATATTAGGTGTATAAGCTATACTGAGTTATCAGCAAGATATACCAAAAAGCAGCCACCAAAAGGGGCTGAGGAGTGATTTGGGCTGAGTGAGCATCAGTACCAAGCCAAAGGTCTGAGTAAGTATTACCTCTGAGTCCTGCTTCAAAGAGATGTTTTTAAGAGTCTTGAGGAGCTTGGCACAGAAAGTGTTAAGGAAATGCAAAGTATCAGAGACTTCTTATTTGGCTTAGGGCTGAGGGAGGTCCAAGTTTCATGGTATAAATAACAAAGGAAGATCTAAATCTGTAATATCCTCTGCAATCCTCTTTTTTCTCATAGCTGAAGAAGCTACTGATAATGCTTTACTTGTGCTGATCAAAACCTCATTATATCCATCCCGGTCCTTTCTTCTTTTGCTCTTCAAGAGGCTCTCCTGTCTGACTGCCAAGCATCTAAGCAGTTTTTCCCACTAACTTTGTGCTCAGGAGAGTGATGAAGCTGTGTTTTCATTCACAGCTTCAGAGCATACCCCTGGTAGAAAAACATTTTTCTTGGGTGCTGCATGCATGTCCCCTCGGTACACTCACTGTGATCTCCTGTTGCTGTCAGAGCAGCCATGCTGCCATCACTGATCTATGAGTATGCTGTGATTTAAGCGGGTTTTTAAGCCCCATAGATTGAGCCAGGCAGCCAAAATGGAAAAAAATAACTTCAACAGTTTTGCTGCCTTTGCAAGGAGAGAGTGAGGAGAGGTATGGGTCATTCTATAGAATTGAGGCCAGGACAGACAAAGCAAAGTTGCAGCCTCAACAAATCCACAGAGTTTAGTACAGGTAATATCTGCCAAGTGTTTTCAGCTCCAAGTAGGCAGCCCAACCTGCAGCCCGTGATCATGAGAGGTGCATGCTGACAGGGGCAATGCTGCAGAGCAGCCAGTCACCTCAGTGGTCTTTGGAAAACTCCTCAGCCTGGCTGCTGTGTTCTCTGCCCACACACAATCCTGGCACTAAAAATGATAGTCAAATGACAGTCCATGAACCCAAGGCCCAGCGTCCGGTGACCTGGCTGGTCTCAGAGCACACAAGGCCACAGCAGCAGCACCCAAGCAAACAGCTGCTGTGTGTGTCCCAGGGAGGCCACTATGCCCACATGCAAGCAGGGACCCTCAACCAGCCCCTCTGCTACCCTGGGTGCTGATGGCACCTTCCTCCTGCACCTCCCAGCTCCTCTCCCAGCTGGCTGCTAGCAGGATGTGGTGATGATTTCTGTTCTTCATCCGCTAAGCCTGCAAAGCAAAGATAATCCCCTTTCCACTTACATAGTGTTTGACCTGTCCAATGCCCCGAGGGAATAAAGTGAAGGATGTGGGGTGGTGCGGGGCAGGGGGGTGGCTTTGTCACCTGAAGGCAGAAAGCAAGGGAAAGTAGTTAAAATGGATTTAAGGATGATTTTTGCCACCAGACCTGCAGCAGAGGAGCCCTAACCTGGTATCTTGTGTTCCTGTAAATTCTAAGAGCTTTGAAACCGGTGAATTTGAAACTTTCCTAATAATACAGAAAATATTTCACATGTGCTAATGACAGATGTAATATCACAGTTGAAATAAATAATTGGCTCTTTTAAAAGCACTATGTTATTTCAACTGTGTTCTTACAGTTCAGATATTTCTATAGAATAGACATATTTTCTTGTGACACCTTTACAAGTTGGTTTCAAAATGTATCATAATGAAATATGGTCAAATGCATTAAAATTATAATTAAAAAATTGCTTTTCACCCTGACATAAAAAATTTAAAGCTGGTACCATGCAACAAAGTACTTTAACCTACTGGGTAAAAGGAAAGCAATGTTTTATTTTAAAAGTGCATTATTTTTCTAGAGTTTATTTTATAATGGTATAATGACATTTGTGAACCCTAAACCAGAAATATTAGCCCTCACAGTTAATTAGCTCTTCGAGAAAATGTTACACACCCATATTATGAATTATAATTGCTTGTTTCTTGGTTCACAGTGAGGACATAGGAGAGGGAGAAGCACTCCCCAAAACCAGCATGAAGGCCCCCGGCTGCCTTAGTGGCACCAATGAGGGTGGTGGGGCCTCCCCACTCTGCTGCTCCCCGAGGCCACTCTGCCAGCTGTGGCAGTCCCTGCTCCTCACACAGGATCCCTCCCTCTGGTTTTGTGGGTTTGCAGTTACTCTCTCCACAGCAGTACAGTCAGAACTGTACAAAATGTGTGAAGTAAGGAGTTTTTTCCATGGTCACCAACTGAAAAAATAAGAAAGGAGATTTTGCTCTAAAAAGGTTGCACAAAAAGGTTAATTGTGAAGGGACTCAGTGTGAGAAACACATGTTTGAGGAGTGGTTCTCCTAGATAGTCATGTGGTTATAGAAACTGGGAGAGGACTAGGATGGATGCAACTCCAAAACCATGAACAGCAAACCCATGTGAGCCAAATGGTCTCAAAGGAGAGAGGCAGCCACAATCCAGGGAATGCAGAAAGCCAGAAGAGGGTGCTACGATATCTAATTATCCAGATAACTTATTTAAATTACTTTTTTAAAATATTTCTCTGACAAGGCTGTGAAGCCTTCCATCTACCATACACACAACCCAACTGGTCCTGGCCGGGCAACCACCCTGAATTCAGTTACCTCGTGGCTGGGTGTGAGAGGTTACTGGGCTGCTACACGCTGGGTTGGAGACTGCATCCAAGGGGGAGAAAATGCAGGGTAGAGTTACCACACTGAGAGCTGAAGGCTGAGTGGAGAACACCTCCCTGGGCTTCATCACTTCCCTGGTCACCACTGCCTGCCTCACACGAGTTGTGCCCTTTACTGCTCCCATGGTTTAGCATTTGGAGGTGAGGTTTAGGGAGAGGTGGGGACTGGTTTTAATTGCTGTATTTGCTTGTCATGTAGTGTTATCTCCAAGTAGTTATTGCTCATACAAGCAATGCAGTTGCAGGAATGCTGTGGTGTACTGGCCATAGACCAGGTAATGTCAGAGATGGCTGCTTTGCATCTCATGATCCATTTTAACTCATCTGATTTAAACATTCACCTGATCAAGAGTGCCATAAAATATACTTCTAAGACTTACACTGTTGTTTCTTCAGAAGGTGCCAAATACAGCAGGTGGAACAAGCTCCTTTGCAGACAGGGAATTACATTTCCCTGCTGGCAACCTGGAAGGTGCAAGAAAGGACAAGCAGCCCTGGTCCCAGTGATGACATGACACAAAAGCCAAAGTCAGGTGCATTTATAAATAGTTTCTGTAGGTGAAGGTTTAATGTTTCTCCTCCCTGGGACACTGCAGAGACAGCTCTAGTCCATCGAGCACCTTGCACCGGGCATCAGGATGCTACAGTCTATAAACAGGAAATCTGGAAATTAAAATAAGCACTGAATTAGTCCAATTGGCACTGCTGTTAGTAAGTAACTGCAAACTGATGAGAGCACAACTAGTTGTTCTAAAATGCATGAGGAGAAGCGATGATTTCCTGTCCTCGGGAACTTTGCCACACAGGCAGCTCAAAGTCAGGCACCCTAATATTGTTTGCATGCTAGAAGCCTCTGTACAGTAATTACAGAGGTGTCTAGGTGATACAATTATGAAGAGCTGTCAGCACTTCCATTGCAATCCCCTTTGCACGTGGAGTGAGCCCCAGATGCCCCAAGACACAGCGGGCTCAAGGCTTGTGCTGGTTGTGGCTCTGTCTCTCAGCTGCATCAATTTGGCCACTCGGGCCCTTACTGACCACCCAGGTATTCCTGAGGAACCTGGAATGGGAGCAGCTCCACACCAAGGAAAGAACTGTCTGTTTCCAAGTTGGGTTTTGATGCAGTACTCAGTTCTTGCAGACGAATCCTAACAAGGAAAGACATTTCCAGAGGACAAGAGTATGATGTTCAGGGTGTCAAATCTCAGATGCTGGGTCTGAGATCTCAAACTGCTTCCACCGCACAAGCTGAGTGGCACTCCATGGCACTGTCCAAATGGAGCAGGTCACAAAGCAGCAATAGCAGTAGATGGGAAATATTTTTAAAGCTTGTACTTATTTCTTATTTTTTTTACAAATTTATGGAGTTTAGAATTTTCCAGAGCAAGTGTAATCTTCTATTACCATATTTTGGAAATAATTTTAGTGGTGCAAAGGGTTATTGGAACATGGGACACTATGCAATGTTTTTATGCCAGCAGGAGATTTGGAGACACAGAGTGAAAATAGAGTGGTTTTTCTTGTAGGGTATCATGTTTCTATTCCCATTCTGTTACAGCTCATACTTGAATAAGAATGGTTGCATGCATACTACCTTATGAAGCTAGTATTTTAAACGGTATGTTAAAACAGACTTATAAAAAGAAAAATCAGATTTATTGTTCTTCGTCTGTTTGTTCATCCTGTGAGTCTCCGTACAGTTTTTTCACCATGGTAATTCACACTGATGGTAAAGCTAGTCAGTGGAAGAAAATTACTCATGATATTAAACATACCGGGGCAATAGGTGGCAAAGAAGATGCTCTTGAAGTTTGCAAGTACGTTAAATACCATGGAGACATAAACAGAAAGTGTAGTTCCTTTTCCTTTCCAGTCCATAGGGAAGACACAAGCATGGCACAGATCTGATTAGTTTCTTCAGCATTTGCTCAGACCA